ATAAGCCTTACCCCTAAAATAAGCCTGGCCACCCATTCCCTCTAGTTGTTTGCGATGCTGTGGTGGCGAGGTGGGGTGATGGTGTAGCTGCCAGGCCACGCACGCTTCATGGCTCCCACAGCCAGGCATCCACGCCTCGACACCTGCCTCATGGTAGTAGCAGGAGCCCACATAGCTGCTGGCCCACTTCTGCTTGCTCACAGCTATAACAGAGCAAGAGGCCAAGTGGTGTGTGTTGGTGCCGTAGCCGTGAGGCGAGGCAGGTGTCGGGGTGCGGATGGCCTGGTTGTGAGAGCCCTTAGGTAAGCCGATGTGGGGCAACTCCACCCCCACCTCATGGCTGCAGCACTGACATGCCACACAGCCTGCCCCGGCAAGCAAGGGGGAGGGGGGGGCCCCCCGATCGGGGGGGGGGGGGGGGGGAACACTCCTAATAAGCCCTAGTTCTCATTTTGGGGCCCAAAAGAAAATAAGATCCGGTCTTATCTTTTGGGGAAACACGGGTATACCAATGTTATCTGAGGTTCAACGGAGTTTTAGAAAATACGCTTTGTAGATTTTAACCACTGTTGTCCTGCTATTGGTTTCTTTTGAGTTAGCTATAACCGCTTAGTTTTTTTTTATTGTGTTTCTTGGTATTTGTATACAAGAGACTAAATGTGGGACATCATGTAAATTTACTTTTAAAAAATTATTTGCAGTTTTGGAGTAAATTCAGGAGCTTGGGGACTATTCTTCAGATATCTGACTTGCCAGAAGATGGTTTTACGGATCAAGACATTAAGAAAATAGTTCAGCCTTTTGGAAAAGTTAGTGACATCTTAGTTAACCGTTCTAAGAATGAGGTAAGCAGCTTCTTACATTTCTAATACACTTAAATTTGCTGAAATTCACCCCCCCCCCCCTTTTTTTTTTTTGCAAAGATAGATTAGGGTGGATATGTTTGGATATTTATATTGCCACAGGAAAATGCAAGATTGTTTCTATTGCATGCATGCATAGCTGGTAGGCTGTTTACTTTCAGGGTATACAGTTTAATGCAAAATACAAAAAAGAAGAAATACCCTATTTTTCGGACTATAAGACGCTCTGAAGTATAAGACACATCTACCTTTTGGGGAGGAAAACAAGAAAAAATCTGCCTCTGCCTCCCAGCAATTTGCCTCCTTGCAGCAAACAGCCAACAGTCTGGTCAGCTTCAGCACAGCCTGATTTAGCACAAGCAGCTGATGGTCAGTTGGAATTGCCTTCTGACAATCAGCTGTTTCAGGCTGCAGGGATCACCATTGCCTATTGCCACCTCCGAGTGCCCCATTTTCCATGCATTCCGATGCCCACCACCCAGAACGGGTGGAAAAGGGCGCGTGGAGGCAGAAAATGGGCACCCGCAGATGGCAATAGGCAATAGCAATCCCTGCAGCCTGAAACAGCCGATCGTCAGGAGGCAATTCCAGCTGGCAATCAGCTGCTTCTGCTAATCAGGCTGTGTTGAAGCTGACTAGGCTGTTTGCTGGGAGGCAGAGGTAGAGGCTGAAGGGTGAGGGCCGGTGGGGTGGGGTTTTGGCAGCATTTGCTGTATAAGATGCACAGGCATTTCCACCCACTTTTTTGGGGTGGTGGGAAGTGCATCTTATATACTGAAAAATACGGTAATTAAACAATTGAAAATACTGAAGTATGGACAGTCCTAGCCCTGATGAAGTGACCTAGTTGGGTAATGAAATGTCCGCAAGAAAACAGCCAAACTAAGAGCATCAAAAGACCCCATGATTGCTATTTTTTTTAGTGCTTGTTACAGCTTCAATATCATAGATAGCAGTTTTATATTTTCTTGCATTGATAAGTAATCCTCATTTTGATTAATGTTTGTATACTGCATTTTAATTGTTGCTAGTTATTTCTGTTCTTTCAATAGGATTCTGGTATGTCACTGAAATAAAACATGAGTGGGATCTTAAATAAGAAACTTTCTGTTTTCTGTAGGCTTACCTTGAAATGAACTACAAGGAAGCAGTAATAGCAGCTGTCAAATACAATGAAACCTGTCCTGTCCTCATTAATGGCAAGCGTGTGAAGATAAGCGTGGCAGAAAAACCCAAAGCAGAAAAACCCAAAGTGGCTTCTACTCAGGTAAAGCAGAGATCTGTTGCGAAAAGGAAAGTATTTGTGGGTACATTCCTTTCCTCAAAATATTCCTACGTGGTCTTGAATTCTGCTTTAATAAGAATGGCAATTTGGACAGGCCACCAGATTTCATGGTTTCTCCAAGAGTTGTTTTGCTTTGCCAGAAATTCTGTTAAACATTTGATTCCGGGAGTTATGATACTCTTCCACGCAAACTGTTTTAAATCTACCAATATGCTGTCCTCTTTAAGCAGAGGTTGTGACCCACCTGTGTCCCTCTGGTGCCACAGGTAGTCCTCAACATACGATCATAGTTGAGTGCAAAAGCTCATGTTGCTAAGTGAGGCAGTTTTGAGTTTTGCCCTGTTTCACGGTTGTGGATTGAATCGGTGCTGTTGTTAAATTAGTAACCCAGTTGTTAAGGGAATCTTGACTCCAGAATGCCGCACGCGTCATAAACATTGAGTCAGTCACCAAACATCCAAATTTTAATCACGGGGATGCTGCAACAGTCATAAGCGTGAAAAACGGTCATAAGTTGCTTCTTTAATGCTGTTGTAACTCCAAAGAGTCACTAAATGAACCGTTGTAAGTCGAAAGCAACCTGCACGAAGAATGAAATCTTGTTCCGCCTTCCCTTTTCAGGGTCTTACCATTTAAAAACATGCAAAAAACCTTAACATTTATAATTCATCTTCCCGGCATGGAATTTGCTGATGCTTTTGCTCTGGCACATTATTCACATCCTGTCTGTATTTACTCTTGAGCTTTATGCATTTCCCATAAACGCATAAAATGGGTTTTTGCTGGGTGGGTTTTTCCTGGTTCCTTTGGCTGCAGTAGAACCCAAGCGGGCTGTTCGGTATGCGAGGACATAAAATTGACAGGCTCAAGCAGAGTTAATAGCTCCAAGTGGCCTTCCTTAGCGCCTGGGTGTCAAATCCAGTGGCTGATACTCCTCAGAACAAACCAGAACTGGAAAGCCTGCCCGTTGTGGTTTCCGATACCTGATTGGAAGCGGGATCCATAGGTTATCAGAATGCCAGATCCCTCATCAGGATAAACATCCCACAGCAGTTTAGCTTTGTAGAGAGAGTCCTCAACTTAAAAACCATTCCTTTCATGGTTGATTGAAGTTACAGCGGCACTGAAAAAGGGACTTGTGACCGTTTTTCACACTTAATGACCATTGCAGTATCCCCGTGGACACGTGATTAAAATTCGGAACCACTTAACAACTGACTCATATTTACGATGGTTTGCAGTATCACATGATCTCCTTTTGCGACCTGAAAAGCAAAGTCACTTAACAACCATGTTACTAATTGAAGAATTGCAGTGATTCACTTAACAAACGTGGCAAGAAAAATTGTAAAATGGGGCAAAACTCACTTAACTGTCTTAACAATAGAAACGTTGGACTCGGTTGTGTTTGAAAGTCAAGGACTGTGTGTATAGAGCAGGGGTGGGCAGCTATGGCTTCTTTACAACCTGTGATCTTCCAACTCCTTGAATTACTGAGCCAGCATAAACTCGTCAAGGGGCCATAGCTGCCCATCCCAGTATAGATATACTTTGATTGGCTTAGCTGTCAAAAATCCAGGAGTTGCTTTTTGTTTTCCTATGGAATGGATGAATAGGTGAGGTACTTTTTTTGTGTTGTTTTGGCAGAAATCAAGGGGCACCTTCTCAAAATAGTACCGTCATTAAATTCTAAACAAGCAGCTGCATTTTTGTTTTGTTTTGGCAGAGCCTAAACATCATTTCTTTTTATTTCCAGAGCAAAGGAAATGAGAAGAAAGTTGCTCCGAATACCAAGGATTCTGCCCCGAATAATAAGTAAGGCCATTAGTTACTCTGGACCCTCAAATGCTCCCGGTCGGCTTCTTTGATGTGAGCTTCCGGGTGGGTGGATGGAAATTAATTTGACTGTTATTTTCTTCTTTTTAGGAAAGAGCAAGTCCCACCTGTTGTGAAAAAAATGACTTCGCTGTCTTCTGCCTGTGAGTTTTTCATGTTTTAAGCTATTCCCTCTCTGTATGCCTGTGTGTTTTCTTGAATCTTCAACCCCAAATTAGAGATGGATGTCTGGTATTTTTTTAAACCCAAACCAAGCAGTCTGGTGACTCAGGGCTGCTTGGAAGTGGGCTGAAACCAAAGGGGGCTGCATAGAGATTGATAGGAGATGTTCTTGGGGAGGCCGATCCTGCAGAGTGGTGACTTACACAATTAGTACTAGAGGATAAGGCTTTTTGGATAAATACAGAGTGGCCAACATTTGCAGAAGTGAGGGTGGAGGTTCATTCTCCGAGCTTGTGGGTTGGTTTCCGAAAGTCTCGCTACCAGGCTAAGTAACATCTTCAGTGGAGTTTAGGGAATGTTCAGGGTTGGTGTTCTTCTGCTTATATGGGCTTCATAACCTCCACCTTCCTCCTCCACCCGAGCTACAGATATCCGCCACTATTGCAAAGTTGCAGAAGTGGCTCATTTTGCAGATGTTTGATTATTTTGTTAACGGCAAGAAGGGATTGTCCTGAAGAAAATCATAGATTAATGGGGCTGGAAGGGACCTTGGAGGTCTTCTCCAACGTAGGAGACCTTATACCCATCTTAGACAAATAGTTGTCCGGTCTCTTCTTGAAAACCTTCAGCAGTGGAGAACCCACAATTCCAGGAGGCAACCTGCTTCGTTGATTAATTGTTCTCACTGTCAGGAAATCCCTCCTCAGCTCCAAGTTGCATCTCCCTCTGAGCAGCATATTAGATTTTTATGGTGGACATTTTAATCTTGGTAGACCGTGCATCCATCAATAGATTTTGAATGCAAGCTTTTTTCAAACACGGCAACTTTAAAATGCATGGACTTCAGTCAAGGGTTTTTTTAAAAAAACTAAAGTTGATAAGTATGAAAAACGGGCCGACTTAGTTTCATTACTCCAAGAATCTCTGTAACCATACCAACCAGTGCTTTATCTGTCCACAGCTAAAACCGACATCAAGAAACCTGGAAAAGTTGTCAAAAGTGGGGAGACCAAGGTAGCCCCCAAACCCAAGAAACCGACAGATGGCAAGAAACCGGGCCCTGTAAAAGAGAACAATGCGGCCAACCCCGCACCCTTGGAAGAGGGGAAAAATCCTCCCAAGGTGAAAAAACCTGCCGACCCCCACAAACCGGTGGACTCCAAGGCCAAAGAGCCCCCGAAGACCAAGAAGGTTGGAGATCCCAAGGACAAAGAAGCGTTGAAGGGCAAGAAGCCGTTGGAATGCAAAGCAAAAGAGCCTCTGAAGGCCAAGAAGGTCATAGATGCCAAGCCCAAAGAACCTCTGAAGGCCAAGAAGGTCATAGAAAACAAGAAAGCTGGGGAGCCCAAGGTCAAGAAGGCTGCAGAACCCAAGAAAGTGGGGGAGTCTGACGCCAAAGAACCCCTCAAGGCCAAGAAAGTAGCCGAATCCAAGGAGCCTCCCAAGGAGCAGAATGCCGGGGAGCCCAGCCAAGCTGGAGAATCTCAGGGCAAGGAAGCCAGCAAAGCAGCAGACACCCCAGGTATCCTTTCCTCAACGGTGGGCTTTCTGAGGCTGGTCCTCCCAGAGTTTCAGAGCCGCTCCCTCTGCCCCCCCCCTCCTGGCAGAGAGCGTTGTCTCTCTAGCCCCCCTCCCTCCCTCCCCCCAAGCATGGCTGGGACACCCTACCTTTTGAGTTTCCTTTGGTTGGTGGGAGGGACAGGGTGGGCAGCAGTGGGTGAAAACATGGTTGTTTGCCTGTCTCCCCGCGAGAAGAGATGCAGCTGGCAGAGGGCAGCTGGCTTGGAGGTTCTCTTGGGTTGAGCTTTGGACTGACAGCACGAGGTTTGGGACACCACCCCTCAGGCACGGTGGGTGGGGGGGTAGCGGGGTGTGTGGGCATGTAAATACTTTTCAGTGGGAGAGAGGGGTAGGAGGAACACCTGTAACTCTGGTTTTCTGCGTTGGCAACTGGAAGATTTGTGGACTTCCACTCCCAGACTTTCCTAGCCAGCAGTTCTGCGAGTTGAAGTCCACGCATCTTAAAAGGGTGTGAAGGGTAACAAGCACTAGTCTGTAGAATTGTGTCTCTCGACACTTCTTAAGATACGTGGACTTCCAACTCCCAGAATTCAAGCTGGGGGAATTCTGGGAGTTGAAGTTCACACCCCTTCCAGTTGTTATGGTTGGGAATCACAGCTACGGAATGAACAGAATTTTAGAATGGGTTCCTTCCTACCCCGAAGGAACCCGGATTCTTGATAGCTCTCTCTCTTCAACCAGTAAGAATTGTTTAATTTTTTTAAATTTGCAGATAAGTCAGAAGCTGTTGAGAGTCCTGAAGCAGTTGAATCTTCCGGCAAGGTAACCACCACCTCCTCCTTCAAAGCAGTGAAAAAGCCCCACCAAAGCCAGGAGACCTGATATTCCTTCCTTGCGGCCAACCTATTCATGGCCATGTGATGTCATTTTGGGAGCTGGGCAGTTGACCCACATTTACAGCTGTTTGCAGCAGTCACGTGACCATGATTGATTTTTGTTGGAGGTGGGGGGGTGTTTACTTCTGGTTTCCAGCCAGTAAAACCCCACTGAGTATAATAAAGTTTGCTTACTGGTCATGGTGTTTGTTTGACGATTGTAAAATAGGTTGCGGTCACGTAGTGGACCCGCTCAACGACCACAGTGATTTATGACCATAATTCCAGTCCCAGGTCAAGTCATGACTACCTGTACCATAAACTAAACTGAGCCTTTCTTCTTCTGTTGTTCCTTTCTCATTACCAGCTGGCTTGTCATCCTAGCTGTCCTTAACACTGACTCCTAAAACACCCCTCATATTTTATCCCAGTTCAGTAAATGGTGGCCATCCATAGGAGATAACTGGGTCCCAACCTTCCCTTCCCCAAAGAGGAGAGGCAGGAATGTCTTTTCGTGGTAATCAGTGGAAAGAAGCAGAGAAAATCTCAAATGTCCTAGGACGGGGTCGCCAACCTTTTAGACCTCAGGAACCCCCAAACTCATAATTTTAAATCCCGCGGACCACTAATACGAATTTTGACTGATAGTGGCTTGCTGACGTTTTCCCAGGGTCTCTGCAGAAAGCAGCAGAAACCCTGGGAAAATCCCTCAAAAAGTATGTCGGAAAATTCCCCACCCTGTTTTCCTACCGATCGATCATTATTTGGGATTCGTAGGACACCGTCTCCAACTCCGTTCTCAGGGGGAGAGAGAGAGAGAGACTTTTGGCTTCATGCAAGGAAAGCAGCAGAAGTCTTTCTTTCTCTCCTCCAAACTCCTCCAGAAATGAGTCTTGGTGAGACTTGCCGTGCCGGCTCAGCCTCTTGGAGCAGGAGGCCTTGCAGAGTCAAAAAAGACTCATTTCTGGCGGAGTTTGGGGGAGAGAAAGTAAGACTTTTGCTGCTTTCTTTGCGTGCAGCCAAAAATAGAAGGCGAGTGGGGCAAGTTCCCCCCCTCCGCCCTTTCCCCCCTCCCCTCACTACCTTGTGTTGTTCTCAATGTAAGTGATGCAAGCCTTGTGTTCCCGCGGGCCATGTGGGTGGCACAATCTTGTGTTCCCGCGCAGCCTGGATTAATTGCTTTGCGGGTGACATTTCCCTGCGGACTACCAGATTTTTTTCACGAACTACCAGTAGTCCCCAGCTCACTGGTTGGCGACCACTGTCCTAGGAGACCTTGAGTGGGCCTAACTTGCATCATTTATAACTTAACTCTACAATTGTGTTGTTTGAAGTGTTTTTCGAACAGTTCCTGTACAGGTAGTCCTTGACTTAACAACCACAATTGAGCCCAATGTTTATGTTTGCTAAGTTAAACGTTTGTTCAGTGAGCTTTGCCTTGTTTTATGACCTTTCTTGCCATAGTTGTTAAGTGAATGACTGCAGTGGTTAACTTAGTGTAATAATGGTTGTTAAGTGAATCTGCCTTCCTCATTGACTTTGCTTGTCGATCATGTGACCCCAGGACAGTGCAACCATCATAAATATGAGTCAGTTGCCGAGCAGCTGAATTTTGATCACGTGAGTGTGTGATGACCCGAGGTGTGGCACAAAGGCAGCACAGTCACATAAGCAAGAAGAGTCCCTTTATAATCTCCAACTTTGCCCCCAATGTCCAGGTTATCTTCGGCTGGAGGAAAAACTCCCAGGAACAGCCTTTAGCTAGAGAAAATCCGGTCCAAAACAAGATACATACAGACTGGAACTAAAAATCCAAACAAACCAAGCTGCAGTAATTAACTTGACAGGGCAGGAGAAGGAATTTCAGACTTGAAAGCATGGCAAAACTCACACAGTTGGAAAGACGCCAGGAATACAGATAAGCCATGAGGAGACCAGATAAATTCACAGTTTGCTCCCAACAACTTGCTGTGTGCAGCTTCCCTTTTTAAACACTCTGTCCCCAGCTCCAGCTAATGAAGGGAATCGGGGCCCTTTCCTCCCTTATAAGCTACACAACTCACGTTGCTCCCTTCTCCGTTCCTCCCTGCATGCCCTAGGATGAAGAGGGGTGGGCCTGGGTCTTCCTCTGAATTCCCTCTCCCTTGTTCTACCTCTCTCCTGCTCTGCCCAGATGGACTTTGCCCTTCCCCAGTTTCTCCCACAGCAACACTCCCACTCCCTCTCTGCTGTTTGGCCTCCCTCTGAATCCGGGCAACACACCATGGGGGATGCGCCGCATCAGTCGTAAATATACAAACTAGTCATAAGTCCCTCATTTCTGTTTCTGTTGCAACTTTGAACGGTCACTAAACGAATCATTGTATATTCCTCATTAAGAACTTCTCATACTGCTGCAAGTTCTTTTTTAAATGTTGTCTCATTCCAGAAGAGGAAATATTGCATAGGATTATTTTCTGAATTTCTGATTCAGATTTTGAGGTTGAATTCTTGAAGCGAGAAAGGCTGGTGGAGGGGATTTATTCTACTTGCCTCCATGCCAGGTTTTCCCTTTTCCAGGAGAGAGAAGCCTCAACACTCTCCCTGCTGGGCCAAAAAGAGCAGGAGAAGGAAGGCTGGCCTTTTAAAAACTTAATTATCAGACTTATTGGTCTCCCATCTCGCTGCTCAAGACAACAGAGAAGTTTCCAAGGACAGACCAAGGGGTTCCTCGTGGGTCCTGAATGTGGGAAGGAGGAAAGGGCAGGAGAATATTCAGCTTTCCCAGTAAAGATTCTGATTTTCCATTTCTATTTTTCCAGGATCCTGAAGAGATGTGTGTCGTGATGATTTCCAGTTTCCCTGAGACCGGGCTCAGTCTGGAGGAGATCCGAAACTTAACCAAGCCCTTTGGGAAAGTTAAAGACATTTTAATTGTGTCTTCACATAAGAAGGTATTGAACAATCTGTACAGGGGTTAGAAGAGGAAAAATATATATATATTTGTTCATTCATTCTTTCTTTATTAATTAATGTTTGAAAATGATTAATTTTTCCACCCAGTGCCAACAGTTGGAACAAAGAAGTCATTTGGTTTCAGGTCATTGATAAAAGGTTTTTTTTTAAAGGCATATGTCGAAATAAGTCGTAAATCTGCTGATTCCATGGTGAAATTTTATACCTGCTTCCCAATGTGGGTGGAAAGGAACCAGCTCTGCATTTCTCTGGTCCCTGAGCTGAAAGAGCTAAATGAGGTCAGTAAATTTTATTTATTAAATTTATTTGCCAGCCCTCTTGCCACAAGGCGACTGTTCTTAAAAGGTTGTTGAAGAATAAATTAAACAAAAAGTGGCTAATGATTTATATCATTTGAATACTAGGTTGGGGAAGACGGAACTAGAAGGTTCTTTGTTACCAAACTCCATCATTATTCCTAAATATCTAGTTAGATTTAGTGAATTGCAACAACTGAAGAGGACAGAATTGTTTGGTA